TTTGAATGACATCCCCAGATATGTAGATACAGCCCTGGAAGGAGGGGGAACAAGAACATGCAGTGGGGCCTCTGGGTAGAAAACAGACTGAATTCTCAACAGCTCTCCATTTGAGGTACAGAGTTCCTGGAACCTCTCTGATAGTGTGGGGCCTACTGTCTACTATCAGGAAAGGACTCACTCACACCATGGACACCAGAGTGTGGTGGAGAGCCACACCAATGACCTGAGCTAATGGTACAGGCTGAATTGGGCCAATGTGTATCTGAGCCTGGAATCCCTTGAAGACCTGAATTAAACTATCTGGCCAAAACTATCAGGCCAGAATGTGGAAACTTTAATGTTGGGCACCACTTTGGCCATTGTGGGATATGGCCCAGGTCAAGGTAGCAGTGGACAAGCATTCACTAAACTACACCAGAGTCTGTTCAACAGCGACACCTTGTGGCAACCACTGTGTGGCCCAATCCCGGCTCTTTCCTGAGGAAAACACAGACTCTTTGGACAAAGAAAACCCTCCTATCTCTCTGTTTACTCCAGGAGAAGGACCCTGGAAGCAGGAATATGTTGGACTTCTTGAAAGCCAGGGCATATGGGAAATTAGAGTGTTGAATGAAAAAAATAAAAGTCGTGACTCTGCTATTATGAAGATCCTACTGAAACTACAAATTATTTCATCAACTATAAAATATTCTCAATTGTAAAATGCACCAAATATTCACTAAGAAAGAACAAGTGCAAAAAACACTGAAGAGTTTCATAGGGGATTCCAGCAGACTGGGAGACCAAAGAGTTAGGTCCCCAATATGAGAGTCAATGCAAGAGAAACCTACTGTTCTGGGTGGACTGTCCCTACCAACACTCATGCTGAAATGTAATCCCCACTGTGAGGTATTAGGAGGGTAGAAACTTAATCTATGGTTTTTGGAGGTGGGACTTTGGGGAAGCAGTTAGGATTAGTGATGCCATTAGGGTGGGAACCCCCTGATTGCATTAGTGACTTTAAAAGAGGAAGAGAGACCCAAGCTGACCCACTTGCTCTGTCTTGCCTGGTGATCCCCGCCCTGCCGTGGGATTCTGCATCCTCATGAGCAGAAATGTCCTCACTAGCTGCATCCCCTAGATGTGGGGCCCCCAGAACCCTGAGTTGAGTAAATATTTATAAATGTCCCAGTCTGTGCTCTTCAGTGATAGCAACAATAACAGTGGATGATGACACCTGCTGGGCAGGGAGGGACAGGGGGACATGGGCGTGAATCAAGCCTGGCATGGGTAGAGGGGGGGATGTCAGAGAATCTGGACTGCAAGCTTGTGCTCACCCACGTTTGGGGGCTGAGTACAACAGTGTGGTCCAAAATAGCTCCAGAAGAGCAGTCGTGTCGAAGCCGTTTCACTTGGAGGTGTTCCTGCAACTGCTGTTGCAAGCTCTCTCTAGAGGAAGTCAGCGTGGATCTAGGTCAAGAAGGAGCATAAGGTGAAGACGCTGTGCATCTCAAAGTCACAAATATATGGTGTGTGTGTGTGTGTGTGTGTGTGTGTGTGTGTGTGTGGCGTGCACACACAGAAAATACCCACATGGGGTAGAAATACCTACACAGTCGTAGAGGGGTGTCCCCCATCACCACCACCTGCAGAAGGACCGGCTCCTGACGTGATTCTCAGGTAAAGGATGACTCCAGCTCCTGAATAATCAGGAGCCGCCACAAAGGGCAGCTTTGGGAGCCCAGCGCATGGCACTCTTGCTCTTCTCCCAGGTCTCCCCACAGCCACAGCCCGTGGGTCCGGTGGAGTTTCTGCTGGTCATGTGCGCAGTGTCCTCGTCCACGGTGGGTTGTCCTGGATGACCGTGATGGCCATCTCTTCCTGACACCTGCCATCTGCTCCAGGAGCCAGAGACCCGCTCATTTCTTGGGTTTGGGGAATGAGTCCTTGAATTCTCAGGCCCTGCCCCAGGGAGCTTCCCTCATGGCTCCCGGTGACCCACGGGGATACCCCACTTCCCGTTTTCCTGGGCCCTTTCCACTGTGCATTTCACTTAGACCTTGTTCCGGGGGGCTTTGGGGAGCTGGAAGGAACATGGGCGGAAATTCTCCTGCTTTCACAAAAGCTGGGCCACAGGAGAGGTGGAGTGCCTGCCCTCAAGACCCGGGGTGGGGCTGGGGTCCAGCAGCCTCCCCAGAGCTTGGGGGAAACGCAGACCTTCAGTCCCGCCTCGGCCTGCTCAGCCAGAATGGCCACCTTAACGAGATCACCCCTCCTCCTACCCCCTCCCGCTCCCTGCAGGTGACGGTCCAGAAAACTGACTGCAGGGGGGGGGGCCCTTGAGGAAAATCACCCCAGAGCCCGGGCAGGTACTTCCCTGGGCTCCTCCCCACCTGGCCTTCCCCCTTCCCAGCCCAGGTCCTGGGTGGCTCTCACTGGTGGCACCATGCCAGCCTCTCCCCGGAACGTGCTCTGAGCACGAGGTCCTGATGCCCAAGGAGCCAGTGTCCTGGGGCCTCCCCTTGGGATGGGACTCGGCCCGTGCTGAGACCTGCATACAGAGATGCTGGGGGGCTCTTACTGCAGGCAGGCTTCCCCCGGGCAGGTACTTCCCTGGGCTCCTCCCGACCTGGCCTTCCCCCTTCCCAGCCCAGGTCCCGGGCGGCTCTCACTGGTGGCACCATGCCAGCCTCTCCCCGGAACGTGCTCTGAGCACGTGGTCCTGATGCCCAAGGAGCCAGTGTCCTGGGGCCTCCCCTTGGGATGGGACTCGGCCGCTGCTGAGACCTGCATACAGAGATGCTGGGGGGCTCTTACTGCAGGCAGGCTTCCCCCGTGTGGGCCCTGCTCCCACCCCATGCACAGAGAAGGACACAGGCACCCTGAGGGGCTAGGTGACTTGCCTGGGGTCACACAGCTAACAGTTGGTAGACAGGAAATGAAGCTCAGATGGGTGGGACCCGCGGCCTGTACTTCACTTATTGAGCCCTGTACTGGAAGAGGAGAGGGGAGAGGAGGGGAGGGGACGCGTCCCTGGTCCTCTCAATGGTCCTTCAAAGCCATTTAATTCATATTCTCTGTTTATAGATGGGGAAAGTGAGGCCTGCAGAGGGTCACTCAAGGTCACAGGAGACAGGGACAGTGCAAGAACCAGATGTGGGACATCCACATCAAATGCTTTGACAGGCAAGGCAGACCAAATAATCCCAGGTTCAAATTCCAGAAAACCCTTGGCGAGGCCACCCGGCGGGACTTGGGCTCAGGGTTCGCGTTGAGGCCTGGCTTCCTGGCCCCAGGCGGAAGCTCGGTTCAGGGTGGGCTGCAGCCCTGAGGCCAGCGTCCCTTTGCTGTCCTCAGAGCACACGGCCCACTAGCCAAGGCTGCTTCGGAGCAGCTGAGTGACCACCAACTCTACCTGCTGGCAGGGGCCTGTCCCTGGCCCGGCGGCCTCTGGGGTTCAGAGCCAGACTGCGCGGCCACTCCCCCAGATGCTGCCTTTCTGGCATCTTCCTGCTCAGTCACACGCCCCTTCCTCTGGGGCCCTGTTAACAATGCCACCACCTGTTTTGTCACTGAATTGCTATTTTCCTTGTAGCTGGTATCCTTTTACTTATGTAAATTTATTTGAAAAAGAAACTTCCTGTTACTACCCGAAACGGAAAATCAGAGTCACTGGCTATAATTGGAAGGTAGCTATCAAATAACCGCAGTGGAACCTGCCACCATATCCTACCCCAGCAGGCCCCGGGGCGGGACAGGACACCGGTGGTCCCTGGTTCAGAGGGCAAAGACCTGTTATCAGCCAACCAGGGCTTCTCTTTCACTCCCAAAGACACGGGAAAATACGGCAAGAGGAAATAAGTTCCCAGCCACGTGGTCCTGGTGATACAGCATCATGTCAGACTGTCTGGAGACGTGGCAGCCTGCTGCTTTTCCCCGGGCCCTGGCCTCCAGACTACAAACCCTGTGCTCAGCCCTGCTTGCTCTCCAGCTTGGTCAACACCCAGAACAGCCTTCTTACTAGCTAGCTAGGTACTCTTTTTTTTCCTTAATATTTATTTTTTAGTTTTAGATGGACACAACATCTTTATTTTATTTTTATGTGGTACTGAGGATAGAACCCAGTGCCTGTCGCATGCCAGGCGAGCGCGCTACCACTTGATCCACATCCCAAGCCGCTCTCTCTTTTTATTATTTTTTTGGTGCTGGTGCTGGGGATTGAACCCAGGGCCTCGTGCGTGCGAGGCAGGCTCTCTACCAACTGAGCTACAGCCCCAGGCCCTGCAGCTGTGTTTTCAGTTGGTATTTCCAGAATGTCCCAGACCCCGGGAAGAGCTGGGGGTACAGCAGGGACCAGGACAGACGGGCCCTGGCTTCCACAGAGGTGGTGTGTCAGAAGGCCACTCGCTGAGCAAACCCAAGCTGGGATGGAGTGCTGCCCTTCGGCCAGGTGCCCAGAGAAGACCACTCCGGGAGGAGGGTTTAAGGGAGACTCCAGGCTGGAGGGGGCCCTCGACAGAGCCCAGGCGCACGGCGAGTGGGGATCTGGGCAGAGGGAAAGCAGGAGCTCAGCTTCCCCCTGGAATCTCCTCTGACCTCAGGTCTGAGTCTTTTCCCAGAAAGGGAACATGCTCTCACCCTGATGTGCCACCTGGTTGTGCCACCAAGAGAGTGGGCTCCCAGGCCAAGAGAAGAAAGTCCCTCATGATACCTCTGCCATTCCCCCGGCTAGGGAGTGGCTCGTTGCAAAGTGAAGGAGCTGGGGAGCTTGTGTCTGGGCTTGCAGAACCACTCAGCCACCATGGCACAACCAGAGTCAGCCTCTCAAGGGAGGAATTTATTCTCTGAAGAGTCCTAGCGGAGACCAGCTTCCGGGCCAAGTGGGAGCCAAGGACTTGAACTTTGTCATCCAGTCTTTCTCTCCCTCTCTCTCTCTCTCTCTCTCTCTCTCTCTCTCGCTCTCTCACTCTCTCGCTCTCTCGCTCTCTCGCTCTCGCTCTCGCTTTCCCCCTAGTTCTGCTTTCCCCTGCTTGGCCTTCTCTCCTCGTGTTGACCAGATGGCTGCAGCAGCTCCGGGATCACATGCTTCCTTCTTGGCAACAGAGGACGCTCCTGTCCAGGATTCTTGTGAGGTCCTCACCTGTAGGCTGTGTAGGAAACCCACAACTGTCCTTTTCTGCGGAGCCCCATCCCCACAATGCACAAGTGCCAACAGCATGCATTTCAGGGTGGCCTTGATCGGAAACGGTTCTTGAACATATTGTTTAGTCATCAGCTTTTTAAATTGCAACTACACATCCTGAACACTTCCTGTAATAGATCCTGTTCCTACAGGCCACTTTGGGTGGTTTCATGGTAGTCTAATGCATATGCCATAGTTACTCTAACCATACATTAATATTGCATTTTCCTTATTTCAGGCAACACTGCGGCAAACATCTTGATTTTCGTGCCTTTTTGTGTTTGTGTTCTCTTAACAGCAGTCTCCAGAGTGGCATCTCTGAATTTCTAAATATTTCAACAGATCTATCGACTAATTGGATCTGTTGTAATTTATGGTGCTGGGGATGGAACTCTGAGCCCTGCATATGTAAAAGCAAGCGCTCCACCATTAAGCCTCACCTCCAGTCCTGATTTTATTTCTTAATTGACAAAGATTGTGTGTATTTATGGATCAACACTTTCAGTGGTTTTGATATTACTTCTCTCTCCCTAAAGGCTGGACGAACTCACTCCTCCACCATACAAGTGTGAGAGGGATGCCAATTCCTTCAGTTTTCCATTATCCTCGGATTTAAAACTCATTTAGTAGTTGAATCCTTGTCCCTTTTCAGGGGACAATCATTCCGGAGGCAGGAGGGACCCAGGACTGGATCCCGCTGTTCACCGGGCTGCCAGCAGGTGGCGCTGCCGCCCCGACGGCTCCGAAGCTCCCCGAGCCTTGGGCGCGGGAGAAAAAGAAAAAGAGGAAGAAGGGGAATTGAGCAATTCTCCGGAAAAAAAGAAAAACGAAACTCAACTCGGTGAAGCCGTCCGCGGGGGATTGAAGAAATGCTGAGAAGAAATGCTTTCTGGGGGAAAGGCTGGGCAAGCGCCGAGGCCCTACCCTTGCAACGCAGGCTCCCTCCAGGTCTGCAGAGGAGCC